CCGTCTTCCAGGCGCTCAAGGCCCTGGGCATCCTGCAGGGCGGCAAGATCTCGCGCAGCCACATCGTGGTGGCCAAAGGCGGCAAGATCCTAGACGCCAGGTCAGTGGCTGCAGTGTAATTGAAGTATAAGTTTGTCTCGAATATTTTTCATGGACGACAGGGGCTGCCGGCGGCCGCCGCGGTGCGCCGCCGCGCCCCAAGCGGCGGCAGCAGCAAGGCTCGGCGGCCATGGCTCGCGCTGCGATGGCGGGGCGCGGGCGGTGCTTGGCGCACACGCTACAGGCGCATGGTTCGACGTGCACTCGCAGAGCCGCCGCGCGCCACGGCCCTGTTGACCCACACACTGTCCACTCGCCACGCCGCTCCCCCCAACTCCCACCGCCATCCTCGACAGGTACGGCATCTCCCCAGGCGACAGCTTCGTGGAGGCACTGGCTACCGCCAAGGAGGCACTGGAGAAGGCCTGAGCCCGTGTCCACACGGCTGGGGGAATGGGGGCCCCGGCTGCGGAGCCCTCCACGCCTCCCGACAGCTGGCGGCCTTGGCCCGAGGCCGGCCCAGCACCTGCGCCGTGCCTCGTGCTCTGCCCGGCATGACCAAGTGCGCTGAGCGCGGCGCTGTTTGGGCTGCACTGTGCTTGGCCTGGCTCCGCTGTTTTGACCACGCACTGTGCATCGCCGCCGCCTTTGACCGCCCGCGACGGTCGCTTGACTGCCCTAGGGGCCTGTTTGCGCCCTGGCGCATGCATCCCTCCTTGGGTGTGTGTTTTTGTCGGAGGTGCACCCTGCCTGGCTTGACGCCAGCTTTTTTCTGGTGCTTGTCTGGGGACACGTCTGGTTCGTGGGTGCACCTGCCTTCGATTTCACGGGGAACGCCAGTGCGGCTGCGGCGGCGGTGCTGCTGCTGCCGCCGCCGCCGCCGCCGCCTCTGGCTGAGGCGGGGCCACTGCTACTTACTGACGGCTGTAAGCTGGCCACTTTTGGTGTCCATTCACTGGGGAACGCGCATGTCAGCTCAGAGGGTGCCACAGACTTTGTGTGCAGCCGGCAGCGCCAGCCGCAGCAGGCGTAAGAATGCGGTAGCAACAGGCCAGGATGACGCATCTCACACTGCAGTCACAGCCAAGTGCACCTGTCTGCTCACTAGCCAAAAGCCTGACGAGTTACTACATATAAGTAGTGCGGCAGTCAACCCCAACAACAATCAAGTTCCAACCGTGCATGAGCATGAAAACGTCAATGGCAGGCCGTGGAGCCGCATGTCGAGCCCAGGCCGGCACCACAAAAAAATATAGCATCTCTGGCACCCCCACAGCCAAGTGGTGCCGCCCCGGCCCTCCACTGCGCGCGTTCCCGAGCCGTGGTGATGAAATCATTAGTAAGCTGCGGCAACGAGCCGTCGGCAAACACGTGCCTGGGTGTCTTGGGCGGCGCCTGCGTGCGACCTGGTGTCACACCCCACAAAGTTGCCATTAAATTAGTTCTTTGCAGGCAGCTCCCGGCCATCCCCAAGTAGAGTATCAGTCTTGCAGCCAACCTCGAAATGCTCCACTCAGCATACCAACAATTCAACCGCTTCTTGAAGGGGCTCGCCACCCGGCCCCTGCGCCTGCAAGTTGGCACCCCTTGTGAATCACAGCCTCTTTGCCCGCCCTTCCGCCCCCCCCCCCCCCGCTGCTGCCGCCGCCGCGGTGGCGGCCTCCGCGGGCCCCCCCGCCCGTGCCTGACGCCCGGCGTGCGTGCCGCCGCTGCGTGACGTTATCGTGATGCTGGATGACGTCACCCGAGGCCGTTGTAGTTGATCTTGGCCTGGCGGTCAGGGCCTGCCAGGTATTCCTTGACCCCCTTGAGCGCCTCAACGCGGTCATGGTGGTCCGCCAGCTTGGGGTACTGCCGAATATTGAGATAGCCAAGGTGCGTGTACACATGTGCGGGGCGTGTTGGTTTCGTGGTTGGGGCCGGGGGGAATCTGGGTGGTGGGGCGCGCGCGCGTGTCTGTGTGTGTGTGTGTGTGTGTGTGTGTGTGTGTGTGTGTGTGTGTGCGTGTGTGCGTGTGCGTGAATGCGTGCACGTGCGTGAATGCGTGCACGTGCGTGTGTGCATGCATGCGTGCGCGTGCGTGCGTGCGTGCGTGCGTGCGTGCGTGCGTGCGTGCGTGTGTGCGTGCGTGTGCATGCATGCATGCACGTGTGTGTGTGTGTGTGTGTGTGTGTGTGTGTGTGCCCGCGCACGGGGAAGTTCGGGTGTGTGCCGGGGGGTTGCTGCAGCATCCCCACAAAAACGGGGCCCGTGCTGAGGAGCGAAGCGAGAGCAGAGTTTTCGAGGGCTCGAAGCTTTGGGCGAGGCGCTCGGACGGAGGCCAACCAAGGCCCCTGTGCTCGTCATCCCCCTGGTGACCCACCGCGGCCCTGAATTCCTCAGGGAACAGCGCGGGGCGCATCAGGAGGTGGATGACGTCATAGACCGCCAGGTCAGCGGCGGTGACGCCGCCGCCGACAAACCATTCGCCGCCGGCCTTGGTCAGCAGCCGTGCCAGGTACTGCAGGGGGCGCGTTAGTGTTTTGATGTTGGTTTTTGAGAAGGGGGGGGGTGTTGCAAGGAGTGCATGGCGCACGGTGCATTGGGCGTGGTGCATGGTGCATGTTGCATGTTGCATGGCGCATGGCGCATGGCGCATGGCGCATGGTGCATGGTGCATGGAACCATTGGGAGTTTCAACGATGGGCAGACGCGGCCTGCGGTGGGGGGGTGCAGGGGCATGTGTGCATGCACGCCTCCACCATTGCCTTTGCTCGCGGCAGCGGCCGCACGCCGGGCCACGGCGCAGGGCCGCCATCCAGCGTGAGGGCCGCCTGGCAGCAATCCCGCGGCATGCCCTCGGTGCGGCCGTCCCGCCCGCCCCGCCCGCCGCCACGCGCGCTCTCTCGCGCGCGCGCACCCTGGCGTGCGCGCCGTCATTGGGCTGCGTGAGCGGCGCGGCCTTGTCGCAGTGCTTTGCCCAGAACGCCGCCTTGGCCTCGGCTGCCTGTGGGGTGCGGGCGACCGAGGAGGGATGGATGATAATGCGGGGCTGCCCGGGTGAATTCAGGCAGGTGCGACCACGACAGAGACAACCAAATCAGAACAAAGGTGCGGGGCATGTTGCTGTGCAGGCGGGCGTGGGGCCGGGCACTACTCTTCAAGGCGGGACAGAAGTGTCGTTGCAGTGCGGGCGGAAAGGGGGCGGTGCCGTGCGGCAGCAGCGGCGCGGGAGAGCTTGGGCGAAGAGCAGCCGGCGTTGCGGCGGCGCAGCGGCGCCGGCGGGGCGCTCACCAGCTCGTCATGCTGTTGGTTATAGTAATTTTCCGAAGAAGAAAGCGCCACGGTCGTGCAAGGCAATGTGGGAGGGATGGGTTCGGAGGTGGGACGTTTGGGTGCGTTGAGAGCGAGCGTATGGGACAATGGGTGGAGCGGGCAGCAAGGGGTTCCCCTTCCAACACAAGGGCAGGTGGGCAGGCGCAGAATCTTGGTGCAGTACGCAGCTGTGGCAGCCCTCAGCATGCATATGTGCGGGGGGGCGCGTGCCGCGCTGTCGGCGCATGGGCATAGACAGGGCAAGCGCGGAACTATCCACTATCCACGATCTTCAATATTAGATCTCGGATCTCAGATCACGGCGCTTCTCGGCGGCTCACGTAGATCAGGGCCGTGTACTTGTTCCTGAGGTCCTCAACGCCGTCCATGATCATGTCGACCTGCAGGTGCAGGTGACATCACAATGACATCAGCAAAGGGGGGGTGGATGCTACAAGGAGGAGCCCAGGGCTTCATTTCTTTTGGCCATCACGAGGGCCTGTCCAAGCGGCAGGGGCACCTGTTCGGGCGAGTCAGGGCCCCTCCCACCCCCTTCCCCCGCAGCGACCTGGGGCACCAGCTGCGGCAGCGCATGATTCGCAACGGCGCGCAGGCTGCCGTGGCCGGACCCTGGCAGGCTGCAGCCCCGCAGCCGGCAGTCCCCGCGGGGTCCCCCCCGTGGCAGTCGGGCGGCCCGAAGAATTAGAGGCGACACTGCGGGGCCCGATCCCTCCCCCCGAAAAAAAAAGCAACCCTCCCAACCATCTGCGGCTGCGTCGAGCTACACGTGCATCAGCGGCTGTTTGGTGATAGCATTTTGCACGTGTCCCCGCTGCCCCTACCCCCAACGCGCGCGCCTACCTTGGCCATCTCTGCCTCGCTGGCGCCATAGAGCCTGAACTTCCGCGCCAGGTGGCGGACGCAGGCGTTTGACTGGACAAGGTCCACATCGCCGTCAACCAGCCTGCAACCGGGGGGTGGGGGTGAGAGAGGGTTCTGGGTGTTTCAGGGAGGGTTTTGTCACCGGTTAGATTTGCTTGTTGTGGTGAGGGTTCGTGAGGGGACGTCTCCGGGCTTGACGTGTTGCGTCGTGGTGTGGCGGCCCATTGGGAGCCAGGTTTTTCTGTTCCCAAAAAGCCTGTCAAAGGGGGTTCTGTTTCCCTGCCTCCTGGAAGGGCGTGCGTGAACAAAATTTGATGGTTTGGATCCAGAAAGCTTGACAGTAGGTGCTGGGAAGGGTCTTGATGGACTGTGGAATGGTCAGGCGCGCAGCTCGCCGGGTTCAATACCCCCTCTCAGGCACCAGGCTCAGGCCCTGAGCAGGCCGGGGCGTGCGGCCAGGCGGTGGTGGCGGGGCAGGCGTTGGCCGCTTCGGGCGCACCTGGGGGCCTGCCCGAAAGGGAAAGCGTCCAGGTTGCTCTTCTGCTCCTCATAGCTGCAAAGGGGGGGGCCGAGGGGACGAGTACGTCATGGCGGGCGCAAGTTCGGGGCGATGACGATCACAATGCCAGCACAAGTCACCTCAAAAAGGCAGGTGAGTTGGCTGCCAGGCCCAACCCAGCAGAGGGGGCAGGAGGGGGCAGCGGCACAGGTGGCATCCTTGGCGGCCCGCTGGGGTTGCTCGCAAAGTAAGCGCCGGCCTCACGCGTTTATGCAACTTGCCTTGAAGGCGCGCCCTAGGCAGCGCCGCTGCAACACAATCGGGCCCGGGGCGGTGATGTGATGAGGCGCCGCCGGCCTGTGTGATCTCAAAGGTGATTTGAATGGCTGCAGATTCAAGATAGCACCCACCTGTGGACGACAGCCTCGAACTTCTCGCCCGCATAGGCGCACAGCAGCTTGATCACCTCCGCCCTGCGGGATACTTGGATTTAGAGGGTTCTCAGCGCGTTGGGCAGCAGGCAGCGGGGGGAGCGCTGCGTGCAGGTGGCCGCATGGGCAGCAGCACCGGCTGCCCGGAAATGTGGCAAGGCGGATGGTGCTTGGCTGCAGCACGGCGGCCCGCGGGTCACCCGTCAAGAGCAGGGTGGAGGTGGGACGGGAGTGTTTGGCTCCTTGGTGTGAGGCGACCCAGCTGTTGGGTACGTTGGCCTGTTGGTTGCCTGATCCCCCCATGACACAAGTTCGAATCGTGTTCATTACAGGGGCCCATGGCCGTTGGCGCGCGGACACTCTGTCCCGGGATGCGCCAGCCTGTCCGCAGAGTGACGCGTCACCCAGCCTGCGGTCGCCCCGCGGTGAGTGGGCAACGGCAGTGCTCACCGGCCTTGCATGGGGAAGTAGTAGATGGTGACCATGGTGCCAAATGGGTAAGATTGCTGTACCTGGTGTGTGCAGCGATGGGCGTACCGTACCGCGGGCGGGGAAGGTCGGGCGGGGGCGCGCCAGCTAGGGCGAGCGCCCCTTCGGTTGCACGCCTCGCTCCGTGCGGATTGAAAGTCATTCGTTCAGCTGTAGCAAAGAGTCTCACCTGTTGCGTGGTGGCCCCAAAAATCACTTTGCCTGCGTCGCAGAGAAAGGCTCTTTTGCAAAGTGGTCGAGCTCTGGATGTCAGATCAAAAGCGGTGTTGTTGTTTCCGACAATGGTGATTTATGTTTCACCGCACCCATTGTTGAATGATCTGGTGTACAGTTAGCAGATTCCACCGTCGTAATTTTCCGTTCGTCACTTCGTCATTTGTCAACGTAGGTTTCCGCTCCATACTGCCCTGTTGAGGCTCACACTTCACTCCGGTCCACTCATCATCCTTATTTTTTCCTCTCCGTCACACTCGGGTGTACTGCATGGCGGCCCTCGCTCCATCCGCGCCTGTACATGATTCGCAGTAGAGTGCATTTTCCCCACCCCAGGCAAGACAGCTGCAAGACAGCTGCAAGACAGCTGCATCCCAGCTGCCGTGGCATAATCACACGATATACGCTGGAATTCAGGCTCTCCTGACGGCTGTCTGTGGGGTGACACCTCAACACCCGGTGGTCACCTGCCCTGGACACATTACCAGCCTGTGAGTGGCGGACGCAAGTGCAGGCAAGGTTGCCAGGCGGGGACTTTCACCACCTTGGCGGAAACAAGCTTCCTCATGCTGAATGAAAACAGACTCTTCTTTGGATGCTTGACGCCCGGTCATATCTTGTTCGTCATGTGTGGTGGTCGCGTGACGCGGGTCGTGTGATGGTTGTCATGCGACGGCGGCCGGCGCGCGACGTGCGGCGCGCGGTGAACGGGGGGAACAGCGAGCGGCTGGCGAAATGCGGCGACGGGTGTCGTTGTCAGAGGGTGTCCGCAGTGGGGTTGCGGGTGGGCGGAGGGCCCGCAGCTCAGGTGAAAAGCTGCCGCACGCGGCGTTGGGGGTGAGATTATCTGCTTGACCACACGGGGGGATCCCTTGGGGTCTATGCAGGCTTGTTTTGCAGGTGTGCGCAGCGCTCTGCAAGCGGCAAGGACAACGTGCTGTGCGGAGCGGCCGGCATGGTGGGGATTTGCATCCACTTTCCGTCGGGGACGACGCGCGGCCGCCGGCGTCAACGTGTGTGGGGGGCAGCACGCCCATCAAACTTGTAACTGCGAGGGCAGACTGGATGTATTGAGAACAGAGAGGAGTGATGGCAGCCGGCGACCGTTCTTGTTTGTAAACACGAATCAAGCCAGCCACGGCGTTGCGGGCATCTAAATGGTGGTTGGTCAACCCTAGTAACGTGAACACACATGGGTCAGGCGTGAGGTGGGGCATTCTGCGTGCTGAAGACTCAAAACAGGTGCCAGAAGGACTGGATTCACAGCCGCTGCTCGCCATGACACAGTGTCAAACTGTACCATGGAGGGAGGCATCAGGAGGCATTCATTTAACTGTTTAGGGGAGGGGCTGGGGAGGGCGGTGGGCGGGGGGGCCAGTCATCACTCCCCAAACTGACGACAACAGACAAGGGGCCACCGGTCAACCTTGAATGGGCCAGCCAACTCAATGGGGGCGCAGATATGATACGCTTGAGGTTAGAACTCAATTGTTTCATAGCTGGAAAGCCTCAGTCGAGTATGCAGAATCCCAAGTGGCTTGCTCTGGAGCCGACAGGTGCGATGGTGTGTGTGCTAGAGATCACTGTGGTGTGTTTGGACGGCGCTGCATCAATCAAACGTTTATGTACCTTCATCACACGTACAACACGCACCCCGCACACCACACCTCCACATAGATCTGGCGGGTTTGTAGGTGCCCAGTAGAGACGTAGAATCATCTATCTTTCGCTCACTAGTATCACTTTAGAATCCAAACATAGCTACACGAATTCTTGCAATTCCATGGTGGACCACCGAAAGCGCAACCGCAGTGGCGGAGGGCAGCAGCGGCACCAGCACGAGCCGCAGCAGGATGCGCGCGGCGACGGCGGCCGCCAGGAGAAGCGCACGCGCATCGAGGGCGACCCCCAGCGCAACCGCAGAAGCAGTGGCGCGGGCGGCGACCACAACGGTGGCTCATATGATAGGAGGCGCAGCGGCGAAGGTGGGGGGGTCGCTGCGGCTGATCACGTTGCCTGCGATGCCAACTTGCATGCCGCGTTTTGCCTGCTCGTACCCGCCATACGTGCCCCTGCAAGCCGCGCCGTTGCTGCAGCCGACCACAGGCGGTAGCCAGGCAATTCGTGCCCCCCCCCCTGCCCCAAGCCCCGCCGCCGCGCCCTGCACTCTCTGCAGGCCACGGCCCCGAGC